AGCCATGACGTCAAGAAGGAAGAGCCCCCTTCTCTCCAGGGCTTGTTGGGACCTGGGAATTTGGGACGGTACCTCAGAGGGTGTCACAGGATGTCCCGACTCACCTGTACTCTTACATAGTGCTTCTCATGAAATGGGAGCTGGGGCAGTGCTGAAGTTAGGATTTTGCTGGGCGTGGATACATTGTCCATGGAGGGACTCTCCTCCAGAGCAGGGGTATGCTCCCAGGGAAGGGTACAGCAGGTAGACAGAGATCTTCAGCTGCTAGGAGAGGGAGGAAGTTCAGAAGGACATGGTCAGAAACAGTCTAGGTGCTCCAGCACAGAGCTCCAGCACAGCCACTGGGAGAGACCTACATGGGATTGAAAATCCAAGGGAAGTATAACACTGAGCTCCCAGGCTGCTCAGAGACCCATGGAGGAGAGCTGAAAGGAAAGCTGGCACTATGAGCTGCAGGTAAAAACTGAGGGAGCCTTGCTGTTGAGTCTGCACCTGGTAGAGTTTGGGGTGAGCAATGCATCTCGTGGAAACACCAAATCCCTCTGAGGTGCAAGGTCTGGCCCCTCAGTGGGTATGGAAAGGAAGGGCCAGAGCCAGCAGGATGGAAATGGCAGCCCTGAGGAGAACCCATGGCCCAGACGTGGGGCTGCTCCAGGCCTCCTCGTCAAACTGTGACTGTCAGGTGGCCAACCAGAGTGTAATGCAGGGACAGACACTGGCAGAGCTTCTCAAGCCCATGCTAGGTCATGCTCCACCCCTCATCTATTTAAACAAACATTAGCAGAAGAGCGAGGTGGCCAAGGAATGACTATAGGCAAGGTCTGAGGTGTGCATCTGGTCTCTCTCCAAGTCTGTGACCGAAATAGAAGGCTAAATATATCTGCAGTTGAGGACTGAGGTTGCTGTCCAAATTAAATAAGGATATACAACCCAGGAATGGCATGGGGAGTGCTGGGTTAGGCCTCATGCTCACAGGCAGGTCTGTGCTGAGGCAGCACCTATGGCTGCTTTTTGGAGCTGCTGCGGCAGCATCTCCCTAATTCTCCCTTCAGCTCTATGAATTTTGGCCCCTCACTCTGCCTTCCAACAACCATTCTTAAAGCAAACTGGGGGATAAATTGAGAACAATTGTTCATCTTGATGCAAATCCCATTCTTCTTCTCACTACCTTCCTGGTAGAGAAGCACAATGACCATCCTTCAGGTCTATAGGCCAGGAGGAATGTCTTTTGGGCATCCCAGCACTGACCGCATTCTCCTGGTGCTGGAGGCAAAGCCCACCTCTGCTCATTCTTCACAGAAGGTTTGAAAGCTCCTTTCACTACAGCAGGACCTGTAGGAGCCGGCAGGATTGCCGTGGCTGGCACCAGGGCCGTTCTGCTCCTCTGGAGCTGCGGCCACCAGGCCTTTTTGCAGCAGAATGTCCCTATGGCTGGCCAAGTCACCAACGGTGCCTGCAGTGTTGATGTGTGTGCTCCTGAGCTCCCCGGCACACCGGGATGTTAAGTGGCTGAACCTACTTGTGTTGTTTTAAGGGTTCTGGCAAACATTCAAGAACAAAAGCTAAGACAGCCAGTTCTCATTTGTGGGCACGTCCCTACATTTCAATGTGGCAAACCTTGTGATTTAGCAAGTGAGAGCCTTCTGCCCCAGGGCTGTTAAAAGCTTTTTTATTATTATTATTCTTAAAAAAAAAAAAAAAAATAAAAAATAAAAGAAGAAAACAAACCTGTCAAGACTTCCAAGAAAACACAAGCAAGACTGGGACCAGATTTCTGAATATGCCCACATGTGGGGAAAACTGCAGGCTGAGAGCCTGTCCTTTGAAAGCTGCTGGGGGCTTTTCGTTTGCTTTTTGACGTGTTTGTGCTTATGAAGAAAGGAAGAAAGATTGCCAGAGGCTTTTGCTGCCATCATGAATAACGTTTTGTTCTGATACCATTTCATGCTTTTCTCCCAAAAGTGAGTACTGTGCTGTCTGAAGTGGAACACGTTGGCTCATAGGACACCACTCATCAGTGGAAAAGGACAGATTTAGAAAACCCATTCATAACAGTTTCCACAGTGGCGGGCCATGGAGGTGCTGAGTGGCAGGGTGAGACTGAAGGGCGATGCACCCAGCCGTCCCCACACAAGGGAGGCACCAGGGCTCTGCAGGCCTGTGTGGTCACGAGCCTACTCATGTCATGAGTGGCAGTGTCCTTATGTGGCAGGAGAGTGACCAGCCATCTGGGCTCCTAGGGTTGTTTGTCCTTTGGAGAGCCCGGTGTCACTTTTTGGCACTCAGGCCATCTGCCTGTCTCCTTTCTGCAACTGCCACATCCTCCCTACTTCCATCCCCGGTATTGTGGTTGTTATTTTCCCAACCTGCACCAGCATCAGTGATGGAGCGGGGGCACTTCTGTTGGGCTGGGCTGGGTATGGAGGAGCTCTCAGCTATTTATTCCTGTGCAGACAGCAGCAGGGGACACCTCTTCACTTGGACCTCACCACTCTAGCTGGTAGGGAGCCTGCCCCTGGAGACCTGGCTGTATGGGTCAAACTGGGCACCTTAGGTGAGAAAAACAGCATGGGTACCAGTCTCCTTAATCCATACACACAGTGATGTCAGCAGCAGAGATCTGTGGCAGCCACCCCTGCCAAGCTGATACCCAGAAAGCCACGGAGCAATCTTCCTCTTTGTTTTACAAATAGGTACAGCCTTTTGAAGCAGGATCGGTTGTAACATTTTTATTGCAAGAATGAAAGACAAAAACCAGAAGTCTTTGCCAAGAGCAAGTGAAATGGGCATGCCTTTCAAACAGCTACCACAGGACCGATTACCTTTCCAAGTAATTAAACATTGTGAAAGGTTATTAACGTGCTGATAATAGACAGCTTTGCAAACTGCCAGCACAGCACGATCTAGCAGACGGTGCTCAGCAGAGAGATGGAGCCCTCGCTCCCTGGGGGGCTTGGCAGAGCCCCAGCACCCCGAGAGCAGCATGTAACTCAGCCGGGCTGGGCTGGACGCAGCCACTCCAGACCCACGTCTGAATGGTGGCAGGGCTCTCCCTTGCTGGCAGAGAAGGGAAAGGTGGTCCGTGGGCATCCTCCCAGTGCTCCCCCAGGCAAAGCAGCAGGTGTCTGCCAAAGCCCGGGCCTGCCCATACAGGTTACCAACTATTGTTTCTCTTCAAACCAACTTGCATCCACAAACGTCTCTTGCTGTGAATCCTCTAGTTTTTAGTGTGTGTTATTAAACCTGCTTTGAAAGTGGGCTGAGCTGTAGGGTGGGTTTGTGGCAACTACACAGGTGGGGATGTATGTGGCGATGCAGATAGGGATGCAAGTAAGGATGCAGGATGCAGGAAGGAATGCAGGTGGGGATGCAGGCAGGGGTGTAAGATGCAGGCAAGGATACAGGCAGTGTTGTAAGATGCAGGCAGGGATGCAGGATGCAGGCAGGATGCAGCTGGGGATGCAGGATGCAGGCAGGGCTGCAAGCAGGATGCAGGTGGGGATGCAGGCGGGGAGGTGGGATGCAGGCGGGGAGGTGGAATGCAGGCAGGATGCAGGCAGGATGCAGGTGGGATATGGGATGTGAGATGTGGGATGCAGGCAGGAATGCAGGACACAGGGAGGATGCAAGCAGGAATGCAGGCAGGATGCAAGCACTAATGTAGGATGCAGGAACGATACAGGCAGGCATGTGGGATGCAGGCAGGATGCAGGTGGGATGCAGAGTGCAGGCGGGATGCAGGATGGAAAGAGGATGCAGGCAGAATGCAGGCAGCACAGAGCCAGTGCCTTCAGAGAGTGCTGCAGCTGCTGGGCCAAGGAGGAGTTGAGGGAAAGGAAGAGGCAACAAGAGTGTTTTGTCTGGATCAACTCCTGGGCAGGGGGAAGGTGTGTGGGTAAACAGTGGTGCCACTAACTCCAGCATGGAACTGCCTGACAGGGACAGCCCTTGTCCAGAGCAGCCACCTCCTGGCCATCCCCTCAGACCACAGACGGAACAGCTCTGCTCTCCGCATTTCCATACATAGCACCGAGGGGAAGAAGGCGACGGAAAAAGCGCGGGTTGTGGTGGAAAGATGGAATAACATCCTGGGCGAGAGCATCCTCGGGACTCTCAGAGCTGCCTGGCATCGGGTGCGCTCAGGATGCTTTGCTGCGCTCGGTGTTGTTGGTGTCATACTCTGCATTACTTTAAAAGAACTTTGCATGTGGGTCGGGTGCACCCCGAGCTTTCAGGTCACCCTCTGCTCCCCAGAACGCCAGGAGCCGGACGGGAGGTCACTATGGGATGCGTTTACAATGGGGCATCTGAGGAGTACCGCACAGCGACAGTCTCCACCCCCCGCTCCGAAGCGTGCGGCGGGGTGACAGCTACCGGAGTGCCATCAGAGCCAACAGCAAACGGGGGAGCTCACACGCTCCCGCCGTCACTCTCGCAGAGGGCCCCGGGGCCGCTCTCCGTTTGCCCGGGGTTGGGGCAGGAACGGGCTGGGCAGGGGACAAGCCCTCGCTTGTTCCGTTGGGTGCGGGGAGCGCCGTTGCACAACGGAATTCATTTTTAACGTTTTTAGGGAATGCTGCAAGGCGGCGGCGGAACCCGCGGGCTGCCGAGCGCCCGGTGCCGGTGGGTCCGCGGCGTTGGAGGGCGCTGCCCCTTTAAATCGCGGCGGCGCGGAGCAGGGAATCCCTCTCGCGGCGCGTCATCCGCGGCAAGGAAACCCGCGCTGGCGTAGTGCGACGCAAATGCCCATTTTTGGCAACGTGCGACAGTGGACGGCACCAAGAGGCTCCGGCTGGGCGGGGGGGCGGAGAGATTAACGGGAACCTACCGGCAGCCGGCGGGTGCGAGCTGGGGGCGAGCGGGGGCAGAACGCGGGACGCGCGGGCCGCCAGCGGCAGCTCGGAGCGGCGCGGAGCCGGGGCGGAGCGCGGGGAGCGCCGCCCGCCGCCCGTCCCCACCCGCGGGGACAGGTGGGCGGTTCCGGGCCGGGGGGGCGGGGCGGCAGCGCCGCGGGTTTGACGTGTGCGGGTGCACATGGTGCGGCGGCGGCGGCGGCGCGGGGCCGGATAAACGGCGCGTGGGGCCGGGCGCTGCCAGTGCCCTGAGTCACGGCGGGCACCGCGCTGGAGCGGCATCCGCGGCTCTGAGTCACCGCGCGCGGGAGCGGCGCTTTTAGCGAGGGGCGTTCGGGGGCGGGAGCCGCTCCGCCCGCAGCCCCAGGGCCGGGGCCGCGCTGCCGGCGGGGCGAGTTCGGGCGGCGCGGAGAGAGAGGACGCAGCGCACGGGGCTGCGCCCGCCTGAGACCCGCTCGGCGTCCGGCAGCGCTCCGCCGCCCGCTCCCCACGTAGTTTTGTTGTATTTTTTTTTTTTTGGTCGGCTTTCCGTTTTTTCTTTTTTTTGCCTTTTTCTTTTTTTTTTCCCCCCCGTCTTATTCTCCCGCTGCGGACTCTCCTCCGGCTGCGGGAAGCGCGAGGCAGAGCCCGAGAGGTCGGCACGGAGCAGGGGGCGGGGAGACGGCGAGGGAGCGGCGGCCGCGGCGCGGGAAGGCGGGGGCGCGGCTCCCCCGGGCCGGCCTCGGACCATGTACCAGGACTATCCCGGGAGCTTCGACACCTCCTCCAGAGGCAGCAGCGGCTCCCCGGGACACCCCGAGCCCTACTCCGCCGGCGCAGCTCAGCAGGTAGGGCCGCCTCTGCCCCGTCTCGTTAGGGCGGGGTGGGCGCAAGCGAACGCGACTCCGAGGCTGGAGCCGCGCGATCGCATCCCTGAGGCTGGGACCCGCGTGGGCACGGGGGGACCGCGCTCGGAGCTCCCGGCGGGGCAGCGCCCCTCGGCAGCGCGGCGGTCCCCATCTTTCCCCCTTCCTTCTGCCGGGCGGCTCTCCGAGCGGTCCCGCGGCGCTCCGGGCCGTCTCCGCTACGGAGCACACGCGCGGTCCGACTCTTCCCCGCGGCTCCCCAGCGCTCTCTCTCCCCGCCCTGCTGCCCCGGCCCCACGCTGCGGCTCCGGACGGTGCGGGGCTGCGCGTTTCCGTCGGGGCCGCTCCGGTCGGCGACTGCGGGGCTCGGGAGGTGAGCGGGACGGCGAGGACGGGAGCGGCTTCCTCGAAGCCGGGCCCAAAGGGCGCGACGTTCCATAGCCCGTCTTCCCACTTTCTTAAGAAAACGTTCAAAAATAGGTTCTTTGCCTATGTAGCCCCAGTCCACCACTTCGGTGGAAGGCGTTACACAACCGGGGCAGTTATACAAACCGAGGTTATTTCATAACTTGTTTACATCGGCCCGCCTCTCCCCACTCTTCGGCTTTTTCAGAGTTGCGCTCCCCCCTTTCTCCCAGTACTATTCTTTCTCGGGTGGGTCTGTGCGAACGGGCTGCCAGCGGGAGCGCCTTGCCGCCTCCCATCGAGAAGCCGTAGGATCGTTATGAAGGGGAAAAAAAAAAAAAAAACCAACCAAAAACCAAAAAAACAACAAAACGAAAAAGTCCGCTCTTAAACTTTGCCAACCGTACCAGCCCGTGACATTCCTCGCATTAAAGAAGTTTTACCAGAAATGACGGCGCGGTTCCCGGCCGCCTCCGAACGCATCTCGCGGGTGCCCTCTGCGGGCTGCGCAGCGCCGAGCGCGGACGTCTCCGTGTCCGGGAGCGGAATCCGGCGCTCCGCCTGACAGCGGCCCAATGCGGCCCCTCCGCTCCCTCGTCCGGCACGTGTCCCGCGCTCGGCACCCGCCCGCGGAGCCGGGGGTCTCCGGCTGTGCCCGGAGTTCGGGCCGGCCTAGGGGCTGCTAACTGTTTCTCTCCGTTTCCTTCATGTGCTCTGGTGGAACCCGTCCTCGTGTGTGTGTGCCACAGCACAGCCCGGTCTCTGAGGTGACGGACGCGGGCTCAGGACGGGACTTGGCAGGAGCAGAAGGGTTTTCTCGCAGAACGCAGGCGATATCTCGAGGCATCTTTCCCTTGGTCCCTGCAGATGTTGTAGATTAGGATCGCATGCGAGCGCTGCCTTCCCCCAGGAATGGGGCTGTTCTGCTGATTCCGGGTTGGGCAGATCTGCAGGGCTTTATCGCCACAGAAAATATGCATTGCAGAAATTTTTTCTTCAGCTTTTTTTTTTTTTTTTTTTTTTTCCTTCCCAAAGCAAGGGAAGACGTACCAGTCACATGCTTGAGTGGAAACTGTGTCTCTGGGCCAAAACTTTGATGCTTTTTAATTATTTTTCCCATGCAGCACAGCACTGGAATATTTTTTCTTTCAAGTTGCGTGCCGTGCTCTATTCCCCCCATTGCTGCCTTGCCATGTGGTACACACAGCCCCTAATGGGAATAATTTGTGTGCTCTCAGACCGAGCGACTTCTCTCTGATATCCCAGCGCTGCGTCCAGTCCTCCAAGGAGGCGTTCAGCACGGGACAACCGTTGGGGCCTTTTATTTGTTAGAGGACTTGGTCCTGTGCTCTGTATTGGATAAATGAGCGTTAGTTAAGATTCTCTGGGTGGATTTTTGGGGAGGTATTTTGGTGTGTGTTTTCCTTATCCCTCAGTTTCCGAGCTGGACATGCCCTGCATCATGTTGCTCCCAGCAGAGCCAGGGCCTCCTCGGGGCCGGCTCTGGTGAGGCAGAGCCAGGACCAGGCTCAGCTCTTTGTGCTCCTAACAGCACTCCTCGCTCCTTGTTCTGCTTGTGTAATGATACCTGTGTCCGCATGTTGCTTGGGTCGGGTGGAGAGCAGCAGCAGAATGCGTGCTGTGCGTGCAGCCCTGCGGTTTGGCTGTCGCCCAACCTGTCCCTGTAGATAAGGAGAGCTGAGAGCTGGTGGAGGGCTGCCCCTGGGAACAGGAGCAGTGTGTGAAGAGGTGGGCAGGCACACGGCCACGGCTGTGGTGAGGTATCCTGGTGGGAAGGCTTGGCTGTGCAGGCAAGGCCTGGCCGTGTGGGAAGCACACCATAGGGAAAATCCAGCAGCAGCCCCGGTACCAGTATCTAAAGGCTCAGCAGTGTGCCCCCTGTTTAAATATCTGGGGGAAAATACTGTGTCTGGAGAGTACAGAATGCGGGTTTGGGGGAATTCTTAAGATATTTTGAGGGATGAAAAAGGAAACCGGTGGCAGCAATGGGGCATGGCACAGACAGGCTGTAGCCAGCATGGCCACATGTCCTGGCCTGAAAGCGAGCAGAGAGATGTGGCTGAGCTGAGCACCTCCCTTTGCTGTCCAGGAAGCCTGTGCTGGGGGTGCAGAAACCCTCTGCGTGAAATAAAGGGATGTTTGCCAGTGGTTCCTACGACATTCAGATGATGACAGTCACTTGATTAGTAACTTGGGGCTGACTTGTGTCAGGAGTTTGTATATCTTACATGGCTGATTTGGTGATGGGTCTGACTCTCCTGGGCTCTGATGGGAGTCTGTAGAAGGTCAGTGGGTGGAGGTTACAGTGGTTTGGCACCACCACAAAGATCCTTTCCTCTGGAACAAAAATGCTGTCTTTGCATAACAAAGCACCAAAAAATCTCAATGCATTGTGCAGCTACAGCTTCTAGCATCCCTATAAAGAAGGCAGGACGCTTCTTTCTCTCTATTTGGGTGCAGGAAGGCTGGTGGTGGCACAGGTGGGTAAAGGTCGTGAAGGAAGGCACTCGTGGAACTTGCATCTCTTGAGGCCAGCACCTGTGGTTTAACTTGTCTTGCACTTCGTCCCTACTGTGAAGTTCAGATCTCTTCATAATGATGCGATGGCTGTGGAGTCACTGAGCCATCCTCTTGTGGGCCGTGTGGTCACAGCCTACACTGGGCAGAGTATAAAGAAGGGGATTTTCACCAGTAAATTCCTCTCAGGTGTTTACAGTACTCAGCTCTGGTCCTCCATCGGCAGAGCTCATGAGAATGACATTTACTGATGTGTGTGGTGCACTGAGGTTGTGTCGGGCCCCAGCTGCAGGTGAACGTCAGAGGTTCTGGTGCAGCTTCTGCCAAGTCTCAGTGCCATCCTGTCAGCATTGTTCTTCCACTCCCTTCACCAGATGCACTCCTGCCTTCTCTTTTCCTTTCTTGTTAGATTTAGGGCTATCCAAAGCTATAAACTGACATTTATCTGCGTTCAAACTGGATCTTCTGGTCTGCAGGCTTTGGCAGCTGGGTGTCTTCTGGATAAGTCTGGCCCAAAGTGCTGTTGCTATCAGAATGTGGAACACTGTTTGCAGTAGCCTTGCTTTAACAAAGCATTTGGGCACGGTGCTTGATTAGGCACACCCTGAAAAGGAAACCTGTGAAGTGCTGTCCCTTATCTAGGACACCTGGGCTGAGGTCAGGCTTATGCAAGGGCTCTCGGGTCCCTAGGAGGCTGTTGTGCTGACCTGAGTGCCTGTGAAAACAGAACCATTTAAATATTGCAAGCTGCGGGTCCTACGAGCCCCTGCCCTCAGCTGTGGGTGCCGAGGCAGCTGGAGCAAGGCGTGCCTGTCTGTAAGGCCCAGTCTCACCATTGAAAGTCTCCTGATGGGAGCTCTTCATAGACAAAAGCATTCCTCCTCCCCTGCTTCCCCCTCCGGGGACAAGCAATTGTTTTCCTGGCAGTTTAGTGCCAGCATATTATCCAGATGGATTTACCTCTGTCTGAAATAAGGTGTATGCGTATTTTGGAGATCATTACCTACTGCCTTGGTTTTTACTGCTGCCTTGTTTTGTCTAGACAGTGCAGAGAGCTGCAGGGAACTTGTCCGATCTCAAACCTAAGAACTATTTTATAGGCTGCTATTAAAATACATATCCCTGCATGTAACCATCCTGGGGCCGGGCTTCTCACACTGTGTGCAGCAAGCACAGAACCTCTGAGCAAGAGGTGAGCTGCTGTTCTCTCCATACCCAGCTTCATGCAGACCAAGCCATGATTTCGGGGGAATCCTTTGGTAGGAGGCTTTGCTCTGTTTAGTAATGGTACTTTAGAGCCCAAGTTTCTCTTCCTTTTCTTTGGATTGAGAGAGAAGTGTTTTTCTAGAAACTCCTTAATTCCCCTTTTGCCCTGTGCTGGAAGGAGCAGTGGGGATGCTGAGGAGGTGGGGAACAAGGACAGGGCTGGGTGCGGGCATGGCTGCTGCAAGAGAAAGTTCACAAGCCAAACATTTGGCGCTGGGCAGACTGGGATGCAGCAGGGGTCGGGGCTGGCAGTGCTGCATTTACTTTGGGCACTGTTCTTGTCCTTGCTGGAGCCATTCCTGGGGTCTTATGTGTAGCTTCTGAGGATGTGTCATGTTCTGCTTTCACTGACAATTTTTTCTCTCCTCCTCTCTTCTCTCCCCCGCCTTTTCTCCTAGAAATTTCGAGTAGATATGCCAGGATCAGGCAGTGCTTTTATCCCCACGATCAACGCCATCACAACCAGCCAAGACCTGCAGTGGATGGTGCAGCCCACCGTCATCACCTCCATGTCCAGCCCGTACTCTCGCTCACACCCGTACAGCCACCCGCTGCCACCGCTGTCCTCGGTGGCTGGACACACGGCCCTTCAGCGACCGGGTGTGATCAAAACCATCGGCACCACAGTGGGACGGAGACGAAGGGATGAGCAGGTAACCGTGTGTGGAGGAGGATGCAAGGCAGTCGATGGCGCGTGTACAGATTTCCCCTATACAAAGGGAGTCTCCCACTGCCCTCTCACAGCGTCACCCAGCCCCATGGGGACAGCAGAGATCTGCCCCGCGTTTCTGTACGTGTGCTGGTGTTTCTCAAGATGATGCACAGTGTGAGCTGGACTGTAGTTTTCTTGCTGCTTCCCCAGTGTGTGACACGATTCAGCCAATCTCCATCACAGGCCTTGTGACACCAGGCTGTGTTGCGGCTGGGTTTCAGGAGCAGGTGAAACTCTCAAGTTGAGCCTTGGGTTTCGGTCTGAGTGTTTCTGCTGCTCCAGGCAGAAGGAAACCCCTGAGCAACCAGAGCTTCACATAGATAATTCACAAAACTGATGCCTAGATTACATCAGTGGGTGTTTTCTGTTGGCTCTGTGACCACCTGTGCTGCTCCAGTCTCACTTTGGGTGATAGCACAAGTGCCAGCTAGTGTCATGCAGGGAGGAACAGCTCCCCAGAATACATCCAGTCTCACAGAGAACCTTTGGGATGCTATGTTCTACACCCATCTCTTCACCCTGACCTCTTCACAGCAACAAGATGGGTATCCTGCAGGTGCTGCCATTCTGGTGGCATTCTCATAGTTGGGTGGGGAAGCTGGTCCCGCCTCTACCCATGTCTTTGTAAAGACAGTCTGAAATATCTGAAACTCCCCCAAGCAGCAGTTCTGTGGGTTGCCACAGAGAAATGTAACAGGATGCGCTGTGCGCCCTCAGTGTATGAGCATGCTGCTGTGTGAGGCCTGTTCCCAATAAGATGCAGCAGCCCTGCTGTTATTTCTGCATCATCTGCTTGGATTCACACTCCAATTATTTTCTGTGGTGTGCATCTCTAAAGGACCCAATTGGGATCTGAAGGGCTCACTGCAGGCCTATGTGTGCTGGGCAGGATAGGTGCCGTCCCTTCAGCCAGGCTCAGCCACCTACCATCCCAGCATACAGGACTGGTTCCAGTGCTGGGAAGCTCTCATGAGAACCAGGGGAATAATTAGCAGCGACTAATTTGTTTGACAAATGCTGCCTCTGTGTTCACAAATTGGCCGTGAAGAGATCACCATATTCTCTGGTTTATTTGTTGTTCGGAGTTATTTGCGGAAGGATGCCTGCCAAGCAGTTCCTGGCCTGTGGCTTGTTTGCAGGCCATTTGCTATGGGTCATTCAGATCCAAGTCCTTTTGATTAGACACGTGCTATGGCAGGACCCAGACTGTGTGCAGTGACTCTTTGGCTCAGGTTTCCACTGCTGGTGCTTGCCTTTTTGGAAAATGTTGTGCAACGTTGTAGGAAAAGAGCCTGTCTTGATGAATGGTTCTGCCAGTGACTGCATGCATGGGGTTTGGACAGGCGACAGCTATAGTTCGTGAGTGCAGCAGGGACACCAAGAATGCCAAAGCAAAGTGCTTGTAAACAAATTTAGTGCAGCTTACAGTATATGCCATTTGAGACCCATTATAATGTAAAGCAGGCTCAGATTCACCTCTTCAGCCCCATCTATGAGATTTAAAAAAAAAAAAAAAAAACTTCTGAGATAGATAACTTACAAATGACTGAAGGCCCTGAGAAGACTCATTTTGGTCCCAATGTCTTTCAGTGAGATCTGTGCTCCTGTGAAAACCACACACAGAGGCCTGGAATCATCCCAGAGTTCATGTGCATGTCTTATGCTTTGCCTTATGGATACAATTGCACAAATGTACTTTATCCTGCATACCTATAGGCTGCAAATGGAGAGGTGAAAGCCATGCTGGGTATGCCTGCTGGGGCTTCTTACGGGGCTGAGGGTACCAAAACCCACAGAGGGAGGTGCTCCTGTCCCAGAACAGAGTGCCATTACCTGCTGGTAGAGGAGCTCTCAGGCTCAAAGTCCTTGTCCCAGAGTTCCAACTAGCAGCAGAAGTGCCTCTGTCCCTCAGTGTGTGCCCAGAGATGTGCTGCCTGCTGTTGAAATTGTTGCCACCACACAGAAGAGTCTGAAAAAAGCAGAACAGAGAGAGGGGAATGCCCAGTGGCTAAAGTAAACTCCCTGAAACTGTGGAGATCAAAATTAGGGAAATGAACTAAACCAAAACAAACCAGAATGAGGTTAGAATAAAACTAATGCAAAAATGAAAAGGCAGCAGGAAGATAATCTTGTTTGTAACTTTGACATCTCTAAAAATACTGAAACTGAAAGCTTCTATAAGAAGAGGGTTTTCTTTTTTTATTTTATTATTGGTTTTTTTTCCTATCCCTTGCCAACAGGCACCTGCAGAGCATTCATCTTGGTTTTGGGCTCAGTCACGGCAATGCCAGAGTAAGGTCAGCTCTGAGCAGAGCAGGACGTGGCGTGGGTGCTCTGGTTGCCATTGCTGGGGTTTATAAGAGCTCATCTCAAATCCCCAAAGCTAGGCCTGACCTCACCAGATCCTGCGGGCTCCTGCTCACTTCCTCTGGTGTCGCAAGAGTGTAACTCTATGGGTTTCTACGGAATCGCTCCTGACTTATATCAGTGAGGATGTTAGCTGGCCTCAGGAAGCCCTTGGTATCACTGGAGCCTTGCCTGCTGATGTGAAAAGCAGTCTGTTAGTCTGTTATCACACCGAGTGCTTGAAAATCTGAGGTCAGATTTTGGGGTGGTATAAATAATTGTTGTTTCACAGACATCATGAGAGCTCTGCTGATCTTCCTGTCTCCCCCCACCCCATCCCCGACCTTCAAGTTAACAACTATTTTTGTGTGGGAAGCAGCAGATATTTTCTTTCAAGAAAGAGGCGCTTACAACATCGCACTCTGGTTTTGCTTAATGTACCACCCAAGTTGTGAAACAATCAGAGCATCTTTTATCTGTTTGGCCCTGTTGCAGATTCACTGTCCTCTTACACAATCTCCCCCCACTGCTCCCCACTCTGCCTTCTCCTCACCCTTGTGCTAAGACCTGGTGCTAGCAGAGATACTGGGCGCTTTCATCTTCTGCTGACATCAGTGGAGAGGGGGAGTGCTGAGCATCCTGCTGGATCAGGCCTTTTTTTCTTTGCGTTGCGGTTAAATCCTCACAAACTTCAAGGAATGCCTTGCTCAGATCTGATTGTGGATTTTCTTGGCACTTGCCCATAGCTGTCGCCCGAGGAAGAAGAGAAGCGAAGGATCCGGAGAGAGAGGAACAAGCTGGCAGCTGCTAAATGTCGTAACAGGCGCCGAGAGCTAACAGAGAAACTCCAGGCGGTACGTGCTCTGCATGCATTTCTCCCTCCTTGTTGCCTGCCCTTTGGACCAGCTTGCAGGGTGTTGCTCTCTCTCTACCAACCTATCTAGGGAAGATGCTGTAAAATGCATTCTGCCTTCCCCTTCCAGGACTGCCCAGTGGCATTGCTCTTGTATCAGCAGTGGTGAGGGCTCAGCAGCCTAATTTCTTCTCACTGGCTGCCCAAAACATCCTAGGAGGTCTCTTTCCGTACAGCCTGCTGACCAACATGCATCTCCCTAGTCCAGGTTTCTTTCTGTAAGTGGAAATAAATATGCTGTGTGCTTCAGATGAAACCTTTGAAAGCACACAAGACTCTAGTATCACCTGAGAACAGGAGAAAGTAAGGCAATGTTATGTGTGCTTCTCTAAGCTACATCCTTTAGACTAACCCGTCTCTGGTGGGCATAACCGATGGGTGTAACTCAAGGGAAGCAATGCAAAGACGTACAGTTTGGTGCCATAGGGGAATAATTAAGTTAAAGAAGGTAGGGATGAATGCAAGAACTGTGAGGTGGTTAAGACACTGGCTGAAGAGTAGACAAGGATGGGTTGCATTAACAGAGTCTGTAGAGATTCCAGCACTCCTCTTCAAGAAGCAGCCTGGGCTTGGTTCTGTTTGAACTTATTGAGAATCACAGCTGTGAAAGCACATCGGTGAAATGTGCTGCTGACTCAAATCTGGGAGGTATTCTCAGTGCAGGGGAAGCTGGACAGCCTATAGGAAGAATTTAAGGATTCTCATGACTAAACTAATATAAGTGAGAGGAGTACAAACTAGGAGGTCATATCCTGACAAATTGAAAGTGAGTACTTCTGCAAGCTCCTCACACAGGAAAATACTAATTGCTCACAGATTGACTATGAGCCATCAGTGTTACATGATCGTGGGAAAGGTAAATGGAGTAATCCTGGGATGCATCAAGGGATAATACAGTGGAGATGAAAGTGTTAATCTTTTGCACAAGTCACAGGCAAGGCCTCATCTACAGTATGAAATACTGAAAGAAAATGAAAACAGTTGAGAGATAGCTTTATACTGCCTGCATCTAGGAAATGTAAAGAACATGATTTAACCTTAACACAAAACCCAATGGTAGAGTCCTCTCTGCTAACGTGTCTCTCAAGTAGATAGCAAGGGAGAAGAGGTATATAAGCCACAGAACAAGACAAGAGTTGTAGAAACCATCCATGAAATAACAAAGGAGACCTCATGAGAAGACCGTTTATATCCCCTAGATCGGTGAAGTTTGGAAATAGCCTCCAGGTAGACACAGGAAGTGCAAAATGCTGAACTAGCAAATACCTGGTGCCTTGCTTGAAGAGGCTGGGGTGTATCTGCCCACGCCAGCTGGGAGCTGGACTTGATGGCCATGTTCTAGGTCAGGAGCAGTGCCAGAACCTCAGATACTTACTTATTCTGTTTTTGTCTGCAGGAAACTGAGGTGCTGGAGGAGGAAAAGTCAGTGCTTCAAAAAGAGATTGCTGAGCTCCAGAAGGAGAAGGAGAAACTAGAGTTCATGCTGGTTGCTCACAGCCCTGTGTGTAAAATCAGCCCTGAGGAACGTCGGAGCCCACCAACCAGCAGCCTCCAGAGCGTTCGGACTGGAGCGAGCGGAGCAGTAGTGGTGAAGCAGGAGCCTGTGGAGGAAGAGATCCCATCTTCCTCTTTGGTCCTTGACAAAGCTCAGAGGTCTGTCATTAAGCCCATCAGCATTGCTGGAGGTTATTATGGGGAGGAGGCACTCAACACTCCCATCGTGGTGACCTCAACACCAGCCATCACTCCTGGTTCCTCCAACTTGGTGTTCACCTACCCCAATGTCTTGGATCAGGAGTCTCCTCTCTCCCCATCTGAGTCCTGCTCCAAAGCTCACCGGAGGAGCAGCAGCAGTGGTGACCAGTCCTCGGATTCCTTGAACTCTCCCACCTTGCTGGCATTGTAATCCCCTGAGGCCCCCCATTGCCAGTGTGTTACATCCCCCGCCCAGCTCCATGGGGAGACCCCTCCATGGGATTAGAGACAGGCACAGGATCGTTCAAGCACAAGGGCAGCAAGAACAAGAATGGGGAAGTGCTGCAGCTCCAGGAAAGAGAGCGAGGACCAACGCCAGCTCCCTGGAGGCAGGAAATGGCAAGGGTGGGACTGATGCACCAGGACTGATTGGAGAGGGCAATGTCTCCTCTGTAGGGTCTGCCAATGGAAATCTCGTCTCGGCACCATAGTGGACTTGGGGAGCACTCCTGGCCAGGACTGAAGGCGAGCTGCAGACAGTTGCTAGCCATCCCTTTCCTTTGTGAATTGATCTGATCGGTTATGCTCTGTGCTTAGATCTTTCTGGTTAATTACCTTACAACTTCTTCTTTCCCCCTATCTCTCTCTGCCTATCATTTCCAATGTTGTCGATCCTATGACATTTCATCCAGTTGATCTGTACTCTAAAGGCTTGTTAGGATCTTTCTTGGGACAGGCTGTGGGAAACATGCACGGTTGCCTAGCTGGGAAGGGGATGTCTGGTGGGGGGGGTGGGGAGGATCAAGAGGAGCCCAAGGGCTCAGTGGCAAAGGCAGAGCTCATTATCTGTGACACAGACACAGTAAATGGAGAGAACAGGAGGCTGACATGGAGGACTTTTTTTTCTTAACAAGTAGATACTTATCCCCTTGGGCTCCTCAAAAGCCAAGTTAGCATCTCAGGGCCGAAGTGGCATCAGAAAAGCTGCTGAGTTGGCACTTAGCAGTGTCTTTGGCAGGATTTTAGCCACAATATGGTAATACCAAATCTGCTGCTGGACTTGTTTAGTTCTCCTGGGCTGCCTGTTCTCTAGGGAATATTGCATCTTCCTTCCCATCAGGGCCCCTGACTCAGATGCTGATCTCTTCCTGTTAGTAAAATTGTCCCCTCTCCTTGGTAATATTTGCAGAACATACTACCAAAAGAGGTATTGCTGTGGAGACTGGCAGTGGTTAGGAGGATGAAGGGATTTTGTTGTGCCCTTGATGACTTTCCTTGTTGGGAAACGCGGCAGCACGCTTCCACACAGTTGATACTTGCTGGTGGAGTTTACTCAGAGCTTCTCAGTTTCCGAGGTGGAGGAAGGCCGGAGTCCAGCCTCCAGCACAGGCCTTTAGGCGCTCGAGGCCAGGCAGCAGTGGTGTAGCTGAAGTTCTAATAACATCTGCTGTGACTGACAAGTTGACATTGGAGAAAAATCAGTTACTATTGTTTTGCACGTTGGTCTCTGGCCTCCATTGCTTTTTTGTATTTGCAGTGTAGTTGATCTGGTTTTGCTGGGGTTGACTGGCCTAAAGACCAAAAGCGAATCAGAGAGCTCTTCCACCAGCATTCGGTCCCTGTTTTCTCCAGCATGTGGGCTTTGCTTCTAGTACTAAGTGCTCACAGAGGGCACAAGTGCTGAAGTTCACTGCTGAGAACAGTAATGTGTGAAACTATTCCTGCTTGGAGCCAGGCTCAGTTCCCGTAGGTGTCAAGGCACTGATGAACCATGAACTTGTGCACATGAGGATAGCTCTGCTTGCCAGTTAAGCTGCTTAGGGGATAGCTCTTCAGTCCAGCCTGTTGAAGCTGTGAGGGCAGCTATTTATTGTGAGATTTTCTTTGTTATTATTGTCTTTAAATTGGCAGAAAGTTGGGAATTTCTTGGTCAGGCTGGACCTGGAGAAATGAAAAACGCAATGACAGGGTCAGTGCTGTGAGATGCTGAACTGCTGCAGCTCCTGCCAACTCCACTGGGAATTAATAGGGCCCAGTTTTGTGTAGCCAGACCTTTGCTCACATGGTCTGGATTCCCTCAAACTCTGGTCACTGCCTATTCCTTTAATCATTTCAAAGGGATGCTATTTGGCTGTTTGTTTGTTTGTTTTTTAATTATTATTATTATTGTTGTTATTATTATTATTTTAAACCGACTTATTTGCAAGAACTGCCAGCAATAGAAAGATGATTGATCTTTTTCCTTTGTAAAACTGATTCAGTAATGCAGGTTTTTCCTTTATTGCTTAAACATTTCCATCGTTACACTAGTGCTAGAAGTTTCAAATTGAGCTCTTAAAATAACTAAAGTTGATAAAGGAATTTTTCTCCCCTCACATGCTCATCAAAACTTTATTTTTAATAAAGTAGAGGCATTATGAAAAAATCCTTAGGTGTGGCCTTCCTTGTACTCTATCCCCCACATCTGCCAGTCTACAAATGCTATCCTAGCAACCAGAGATGTTTGTTTTCACATTTGACATAGTCCTCTGTGATAGCCCCAGATTGGTCTCTACAAGTTACCTGAGTGGGTTTTTTTGTTTATTTGTTTTTCCCTAAATTGACAGTTCTCATGTCAGGGACTTGCCACCCATCCATACCATGTGAGAGGCGTGTATCCTAAGGAAGTCAGTGATTCCTACATTAGCTTTTGCTCATTGAATTGTTGTTGGAAGGAGCTGCAGCTGGCCTATGCCCACTGCATGTTGACCTGTCATTGATCTTCTCAGAGGTAGGACAGGAACATCCCCTTTTCTGTCCTGTGATACTGGTGGAGAGGAATTTGAAACTGTCCTGAAAAGAGAATCACTTTCTGCTACTTGAAAGAGCCCTGAATACCTTGTGCCTGCCTGTTCTCTCCCTCAAACCTCTTAGAGGATGTCTGTGTTGGGCTCACTGGTCTTCTGCCTTTTGTATTTAGTGGATCAGCATTACCTTTGTTTAGTTGCTCGCAGACAGGTACAGCTTGAAGTCTCCTGCTGTTTTGGTCTGGCCCTGCGTAATTCTTTACAGGTTTACTGGTGTGCTTTTGGGAATTGAGTGTCTTCCCCACTCCACAAACTGTATTTGCCGTGAGTACCTTCCCCGGAGATTTCTAAATGTACAGTGAGTGTCTCCATGTTCTTCTGCACGTACTGGGGATGTTGGGTCAGTTTCTGAGCAGAAGTTGTTCAAGTTGATAGAAAAAGGCCCTGGGAATTTCAACTGGTATTGAACTGACCCCTGGTTACTGGCCCAGTAAAACATCCAGCAACATCTGAAGTTAATCAGTGCCCAACTAGCAGTGGCAGTAGCAGCTGTTTGAAGGAGACACTTGGCTTCCAGGCAATGTTCACCATTCCAGTTTTGCCCTCATTCTTCCTTCCTCCCTCCCTGCCTGGTTGTGGCACTGCCTTCATCCATTCCTTTCTTATAGGTGTGGAGATGGGTTAGTCTCAAACTGCTTGTGGTGTGATGGTATTTGGGACCAACCTGCTGGGGACAGTAGCTCTCTGTTGTGTTTTTTATAATTATTATTTAAATGATCTATTTAGTTCATCTGAACCTTTAATTTTGCTGCTTACTGTATGTAGGATCCACCTGGCCTTTATCCTAAATGAAAAGAAAACAGAAACAAACCTAAAAACCTAAGACACCCCTCTCCTCCCTGGTATCTTATTTATTGGCAGGCAGCCGTTCTGTGCCTGTTCCAGCAGATCTGCCCGCCATTAATTTAACATCCTCCCAGCTTGCATTCCTGGTGTTTGGTTGTTGCTTTTCTGCTTTTTGTTTTGATTTTTTTTTCATTCCAAGAAAGACTTCTGAAATGTAAGAAATCTTATTGTTATGACACTTAGAAGTTCATTTTCATTAGGAAGGCCAAGTCAAACATTTTAAGAGGTGAGGGGAACAATCTACATTTTATTTCTTATTTATTTATCATGTTTACATTTTTTTTTTCTTGTTCAAGACTTGGATATAATAAAGCATTAAAAATATTCCAATTTTCTTCTTTTTTTAGGGTTTTTTTTTTTTTTTTGATTCTTTAAATAAAAGATTCTGGGTTTCGCTGTCTGTATAAAATGTAAAAAATAATTAAAAAAAAAAGATGTTTCTAAAGATGCATTATCATTCCTCTGTGAACAGTAGGTGGAGTTGAGGAGAAATCTCAGAATGCAAGATAATAATAAAGTTCCATCCTGTTTTACTTAATTGTTCCCCTCCTATCCTGTATGATTAAAGGGTTATTCCACTTTCTTGTTTGTGGTTACTTGATATTAAAACCATATTAAAATGTGTAGAAAATAAGTATCCAATTGTTTTTGCTCAGTGAGAGGATAAAATGTTGTATATATCTTGATATACTGTGTAGTTCAAAGTAACATCAATAAGGGATAGTGCATCTTTATTAGAGCGATAAGTTACTAGTGTCACTAAAGTCTACTTTAAGATCCTCAGACATAAAAAGGGCCTGATTCTGATTCCACTTCCCTGGGGAAATGGAAAGCATCGGTAGCATTTTGCTGCTGCAGAGTGGATGTCAGAGATGGAATTTAGCCTCAGCGATTAATAAGCGACCATGAGGATTATTGAAGGTTTGGGGGTACCATCATCTTTTTTTCCTCAAAAGTATTAGCTCATGGTTTTTCTTTTTTCCTTTTTTTTTTTTTTTTCTTTTTTGTCTGCAGTGGAATAGTTTCTGCCAAGGAGGTTCTTAAGGGTGACTACTGAATTGGAACCCTTCTTTGCTCGTTGTGATCTTGGTATCATTCTTGCAGTCCTGGAGAATCTCAGCTCTGAGGTGTTCTCTCTGGTGCTGTCTATTCTCTGTTCTTGTTACTTTACTGTAATACAGGCCTACAGTATTTGCACTAAAACAAAAAGCTTGTTAGAGAAAGCTTGCTGCTATGGAAGAAAGAACATTTTAAAATGGTTTTGCTTTTAAAATTTTAACTGAGTAGCATTTTGTAGAATAAAATCAATTTAGATTGAAAAGAAAAATGACTTTTCTTTTTTTCCTCTGCACTCCCTCCCCCATTCTCCTTTCTTTCCTTCCTGTTACTTGGTGTGATGGTTCCCCCCCTTCTCCTTTGGTGCTCAGATGTAATGATTGGCTGTATTGTTGACTATGCTGCTGAGAGTTATGACACTTGTAAATCTTGTTTTAATGACATTGTGGACACTTTTGTATAGCAAGAGCTAACTGGAGTTCTTCTCTCTCTGTTAATTGAAGTCATTAAAAAGCTCCCTTTGCCATGAACAATTAAAAGCTCGCATGTTCCTTCGATATGAACAAATGGGTACAGCATTGCCAGGTGCCTGGCTGTAGTACATTTCAGTGCTTCTTTCATTAGAGCAGCTGCAATCTAGACAGCTGTTAGCAGCAACAATGGTAAATGGGGCAGAGGCTAGCAGAGCAGACCACCTGGGCTAAAAGGCAAATAATGCATTAATCCTTTCTTCTTTGCTTCAAAAAGAAAGGGATAGAGCTAGAAAATGCATGCTGAGGTGACCTTATTATTTTATTTTTTAATCCACTGCTTCAGCCGGAAAGACTCAAAGCTTCTGCTCTGAAAGCTTGGGGTGGGGTGGACACCACGGCTGCTTCACTGGCAGAGAGAAGGAGGTTAATACAGGATTGCCTTGCTCACCTGGGAAAAGCTGCAGTCTGAAGTGAAGGAAATCCAGACACCACAGGTTAGGAGTGGAGGATGTCATATTCAAGTAAAAATACTGTGGTGGGGAGGAGATGTTGGGTGAGTCATTGTTAGCCAACATGGCGTTGGGCCAAGCTGCTCGTTACTCATGGGTTTCCTT